TTATCCATTTTCGTTTGTTGGAGGTCATGCTACTGCATTTGGATTAATCAAATAATAAAATTGCTGAGGGATATTGGAACATTTGAAGTATTTGTTGATCATCTAAATCAATTGGAAAATGAAAAAAGTAAACAAAAAATATCCTAGATTTTCTAGTAATAACAGTAATAATAATAACACTAGAAATAATTTAATCAAAATTCTTGTAGATAATATCATTTAATTAGTATCAATATGAATCACTAACAATCAGTAATGTCAATGTATCTATCAATTAAGATGTTCATTAAATTAGGTCACTCAAGTTTAGTATTAATATATATTAGCTGAACATCAGACGAATTAGTTCCAAGACAAGACATAGATATATACGCATGATGGTATTCTATTAACGCTTCATGATGTTGTTGCGTAAAGAGATGCTTGACTCTTCAAAGACAATTATACAACTCAGTTCTTCAGTCTTATTCCAGTCAAAGCATACAAATCTAATAATTCCTGCTGGAATTATTATTTTACGTAACATCATTAACTTTGTGCAATGACTTTTACATAGATCAGTAAATCTTGTTGACTTATTGGCTGCAGAACTGTGCTTTAATTAAAAATATAGTCTAGTGAATGAAGTTGGCAGGTAATTCTTTAACTGTTGGATAATATTAGTAGCTAATTAAAAAGAAAGAAGAATCAGAAGATAGATGTGTTGATTGCTGAGACGTATGACGAGGTTTTTGACACCTTTGTTTGTTATGTAAACGCAGTTAGGAGACTGCTAAGCATATAGAATAAAAAATAAAGCTTTGTGAATTGCTGCGTATGATATGGCTATGCCTGAGGCATGTCAAGTTTTACAAGGGCACTCGCGCGAAAGCTCACGCCGTTTGCAGAGAACTCGTGCGTAATTCACGCTTCCTTTTATATGCTTAAAATCATCCCTGCGGGCAGCTTGAAAATTCAAAGCTTTTGCACTGAGGCTATCATCTCAACCACTTCAACTATCGCAATTTCGCCAAACTTTTGGCTCCGATCCCGATAAGTATGCACTTCCTTATTGTGTGTTGCATCTACTTTACCCCTCTGCCTCTTTCATTTCCTCCGAGTCCTCTGATAACCAACGCGACTTTAGTGATGGCAACCCCCCAGGCACTGCTTTTCTCTTTCACTTACTCTCTCCCCAAGCTTCCTCCTGTCTTTATGCCTCCTCTTTTACGTTCCACCAACTGTTGTGGTAGTCATTCGAGATATAGAATACAAACCCAGTTCATTATTAAGTCGATATTGCATTCCACTTTTTTAAAATATCATCCATTCAATAGTTGCTTCAATTTTTCTTATTTTCTTGCCAGTTTAAAGTGACAAAAGTTTTTATCCTTCAATGTTGAATAATTCTTTTCAATTGTTTAGAAAATATATCTCACGTCTTTTATTATTTGTTTTCCCCAAAAAAAAGCATTGACGTTTGCTTGACTCAGCTCCAATAGCTGGATTTGAGGCATTCGTTGACAAAAAATTCCACTGGATTAAAAGAATAACTGAAGCTTTTACGAAAATTATTTGTTTTTTTTTTTTTTATCAAGACAGGTATAAATGAATTGATAGATCATACAAGAAAATTTATCACCTAAATCTGATGTATTTCAATTTGTTTTTATTTCAAGATAAATAAGGATATGGTACAGTTCTTTGATTTAACAAAATGACAAAATTATTCATTTTAAAATTATTTGCTTTCTTTCATTATTGAAGACGTTTTGAGCACAAGACTTCCAACAGTGTCCTCATACTGATTATATTTAAATTAACACAGATTTAATATAATTGGTCACAATTCAAAATGAAAAAATAAAATGAAACATTTATTGGTGATAAATAAAATAGAATCATCAACATATTTATTTGTTCATAGACAAATAGATGTAAAAATTCATCACAAGAAATTTTGTGTGTGTGTGTGTGTGTGAGAGAGAGAGAGAGAGAGGAAGAATGATGTTGAAAGTAAATAAAAATGAGAGATTTAATTCAACTTGATGATTAATTTAAAAACAATAAAAAGTCATAAATGCTTGGAAAAAAACTTGAATGGATCTCAAACTCAAGTAGAAAGAATAAAAAATAAGCGAAATGTGAGAAAAGAAGTGTAAGAGTATTTGTAGTTTACGTGAACGTCTCGTAAAATTTTCATTCCTCAACGTCTAAACACCGAAGCGGTCGGTATAAGGTTTCTGAGTGGAGCATTAAATTTTCATAATACAAAATGCTCACGCAGTATGCACACTTTAACAAGATTCAACATATTTAAACGTGCGAGTACGCAAGTAGACTTTGAGAGGCTCAAAGAGAGAAAAGGGTGTAGTAGGCGTATAAGAAGAGACGAGAAATAAAGTTCTATTCTAGCCAAACGAAGAACGTTAATAATCGAGACAAAGCAAAGAAAGAGAAAGCTCTACCATTATACAGCTGGAGAAAAGTTCCAAGTGGTGAAAAAGGTGTGGAAAATATCGATAACTTCATAGGGAGATGATGAAAGAATAAAAAAAAATGTGAAATGAGCCCTGAGAAAATTCCTTTCTAGAGTGCTGGAGATTCACGAGTAATCGAATTGAATTTACTTGATCGGACTCGCAATCAACGGCAAATATCACAGACTGTTGAGCACAGCCAAGGATTTAAATCCCTCCCTTGCGCGTTTAGAGGAGGAAAAAAGTTGGATTCACACTTGAATCCTTTTTAATTTTCTGCGCAAATGGCAAAAAGTTTATTCTATTTTAATAGAGTTTTAATAGTTGTTTTTTTTTACAACTTAATTTACTTCATTTTATGTAATGAGTTCATTCGAGGAAATAATCATTATTCATGGTAATTATATTAGTGAAGTAATCATTTATTTTATTTCATTGTCAAGTCGAAATCATGATTATTTAAATAGTTTTCTATTGATTTCGTTCAAAAGAGTGACGGAACATCAATCATAATTAAATATTTCTGCTAAATTCAATGAATAATTGTGAAGTTGGAATATCATGTTTGGATATCATTTGATCAATTTAAATTATTATCATTTTTAAATTGATCATAGACATTTTTACTTTTGAAATATATTTTTGAAGTTAATAATTCAGAAATATTCAATATTGGACGTGGATAAGATTAATGTCAATATTCTCTTGATAAAAAATAGTTGAGTGAATGAAATAGTTGACTGGTCAATTTGAAATTCTGAGACGATAAATTTTTGATGGCATGTTAAATTTTAAAAATGCTAGACATGTAGATGATAATAAAAATTTCATGCAACATTACATTCCAGAGATATGCTTGAATAAATATCGAAAAGTTTTGTGATTTTTAAGTTTGGTAGAATATAGATGATGTCTCCTGCCCATCTGTACTGGTTCTAGTATTCACTGTACTGCATATCTCCAACTTCTATTCATATCAATGGAAATATTTGGAAACTTAAGACTGTTTCGAGCTCGATAAGACCTTCTTATCACATCATTTGTCTCATTCTTTATGACTATGTATCTTTAAAAGTCTTTTTATCATTCACACCACCATTTGTCTCATCTACACTTCATCATTTAGCATCAAAGAATGTGATCATCAACCTAGATGGATCCAAGGATGAATCAATGAATGATTTATCTTTAGATATTGGATTAGATTAAATTACAAATTTATTTAATGTTAGCAGATAATTTACTGAAATGCTAATTCTGGTCATTAATAACATGATATAAAATTGATAATTCATTTAAATGTGTCAGAAAGTGTAAATGGTAGATTTCTAAACAGAAAATTCAATCCCTGGCTTAGCACTAAAAGTTAGTTTGAAAATCCATTTTCTGTTAAAAGCAAAGTTGAGATCCACAAGAGACTTGATTCGTTGTACCTACGTTTATAAGTTTACACCTGTGGCTTGACAATCAAATTCACCAAGTCTGATTAGGAGAATCATGAAAACATTTTATACATTCTGCATTGAGTAATAAAGATAATAAAAATTTTATAACCAACTCATCAAGATACTAACTCTATAAAATATTAATTTTCTACCTCTCGAAATACATCAAAGTAAAATTATTCTACTTATTATATCATAACATATTTCTCTGCACGTTATATTTCTACACAAATATTGCAAAAAGTGTGTAGCAAATACTTGATAGTAATTCTCATTAAAACATTAGAAAAAAGTGCTTTGATTTCAGTTATGAAGTAATATGAACAGAAACGTCAACAAGTACAATAAAAAATTTTTTATTAATGAATACAGACGTGGAAATAAGAGACATTAAGTTATAGTATGAAATGAAAAGAATTCTTAAACTCAAAGGAATTTATCGTCTTCAGTGGCATTTCATTTCTTTCTTTATGAAAAATTCGATTCTCCTCGGAAATGTCTGCGGCGGAAGACTATTACGTTCTCTAATGAGATAGGCGACATCACTGGTGCTTGCAATAAGACCTAAACGTTCAACTTCAATCTAGTCACGTAGTTGAAGAATATTTTGAATACCACTAGCTTCATTTTCTTTTACCTAAATATTATCAAATCTCACTAACTCAACAACTTTTTTCATTTTCTTATCAGATACTAAATTTGTATCGTTTTAATTTTAATAAATTCTACAGAATGAAACTAAAGAATAAAATTCAAATAAATTAGAGTTAGCATTGTTGGAAAAAAAAAATCTAGTGTAATGAAATTTTTTTTTTATCAATATCTCAAAAAGTCTAAAATTTATTTTTTCTCGACTGCATGTGAAATAAAATAGTCTGATAAATGTATGGAAAATCTTTTGCATATGCAGCCTATTAAAAGTCAAACCGATAAGCTCGTTGAATCATAAATAATTGCTCTATCTCGTCGACTCAGACGGAGCTTTTTTCACAATAATAACAACAACAAAAACACCAACAGAGAAATTTATTTGACAAAAGTATCATATTTCATATAACTCGCTAAAAATAATATAAACATATTTTTAGTTACATACATTATTATCCTTTGATATGCCCTTCATGTTCACAATTGTCACGTGGTCACAAGGATAGTCCTCGCTTACGTCTCTCAGCAGTTGTGTGTATGATAATATATTAATCCGTGTGTCGAGAATAAATCACGTTGTTGGCATTCACCCCAATCACTGTTGAAATTAAAATGACTAGTTGATTGAGTGTATAAAAAATCATAAAATGGCTAAAGTTTTATCACAGGATTGATACAAAGGGACTATTTAATTGGGGAAACCTTTCTCCGAGGAAATTGCGCGGAGAACTGACACCTTACGCGCGGTCCAGCATCCCTCTCAGCATCCAACCACCAAGAGGTGCGGAGCACGCGCGAAATTTTACTCCCTCTACTGTTCAAACTACCCCTCAACCCCTTCTACACTTTTTCTCACTAGTATATCACTATATATTTGAAGCTTCATCGAGTCTCTTTACTTCCTTTTTATACTCCCTATGCCTCTCTTCAATTTCGTATATACTTGTTCAGCATTCTTTAATTCCCTTTTTTTTTATTCTAAACTTTAGTCTCAACAATTGAAGGTTTTTTGCCATAAAAAAAATGATTATAAAAAATGTTTGAATATTTAATCGTTAAAGTACTTCGATATCTCTAAAGTTTACTTGGCTTGGAAACTGTTGATAATTTTATTTTAAACTTCCAAAAGAAGATGTAATTTTAGCGTTAAAAATTAATTTATGAAAAAGCAGAATGGACCTCAAAGGAGTACTTGTGAAAGTTAAACCAAGTAGAAGTGTATTCTAATATACGATAAGTCGAGTTTACGATGATCTATTGGACTTTAGGGTGTTTTTCAGACGTCGTGAATGCATGATATATGGATGGAATATTCGTTTAATGTGTAGAACTTTAGAAAGAAAAAAATAAATATATATAAATATCCAATTACTTTGGTGAAATAGAGTAGTCTGTTAAAATGTATAATCAAACGTAACATGTACGTATTAAGTGTGTTATTATTAAATTAGTCAGTTGTGTTTGGTGTACACTCACATGAGGTGAGCATGTATTCAACGAGCTGGTGGAAATGCTATAGCATTAATAATTTATAAAAGTGATATGAGTGAAAAGGCAATTATTGATGATGGAGCTAAAATTGGGATAAACAACTCGTTACTGCTAATTATGTAAACGCTAGGAGTATTTATTATTTTATATTTTTGCTATTTTTATTTTACCTTTTTTCCATCTTGACAAATCAATATGTTACCAATTAATTAAATATTTTCACCAAAATCATTTATTCATTAGTCAGAGTAATAGAAGCTTTTTATACTGCACGACTTTTCTCGTTGCAAGAAAAATAGAAGCAAAGTTGAATGTCTAGGGTACAAAAAAAAATGCTTAAAAAATTTAGAAGAAGCTTTTTTAAATTATTTGGTTGTGATAATAAAAGAAATGATGGAAAGTTATGCAAGTTTTTTAGTTGGATGTTGAAGATAATATATTTTTGATTAAATTGAATTTTATTAAAGAATAAACATGTTATTTTTATTATGAAAAATTGGGTGAAGCATAAAAAATGATTTTCTGGTGAATAACGAGAAAAAATAATGACATGCAGTAAATATGTAAATAAACTGGATCCTCCAAGTCAGGAGATTTCAATATTGATTCGTATCGCTCATAAAATTCAAGTGGAAGGTGAAAAGTGGGCGAAGATAAAGAACACGGAAACTCGCGTAAAGTAACGACTCTACAATTACGGAGGAAAGAAAAAGAGAATACTTTCTTCTATTTTATTTTTACTTATTTCCATAATTTTTTTTTTTTACTAATTATTCTTTTTTAGTTTGGAAATGAACTTCATTTAGTTATGTGATCATTATTTAACATTAATTATTTATTAATTTATGAATAAACAATAAAATTAATTTAAAAAATCATATTTTCCAATTTTAAGCTTTGTTTTTTTTTTCATTTAAGCCATTAAAATCTCTTGAGAGGTTTATTACAGCATGATCAGTGGATAGTATCAGATATCGGTACAGTGATACATTAATTATCAATAAATAGAGATATAGATAGACATTAGAAGAAAAATAATCATATGGAGAATTATTAAGGGGAAGGGAAGGGGGAAGTGGAACATATGGGCAAAATAAAATGCTCGAGAAAATGTACTGAATTATTAAAATAAGTTTAAAAACGCTTATTGCTCTTCTTGTTTATCAATTTTGTAATTTATTCATACATTAAAAATTATTAATATATCTTAATATACACAAAAAATAAAAATGCAAATCAATGAATAAATTTTTTAAAAAAGCATCAGACATTAAAAACATAAAGTAAAAAGAGTAATATTTTTTAATGTAAACTTTGAAATTATATTTATAAAAATCTAATTAACAAACTTAATATTTTATGGTAAAAGAATTCATAATAAAAAAAATCGAGAAATATTTTTTATTACCGAATTATCAATCTCCATCAAATATGAAATATTTCTCATGTTTATTTTATGAAACTTTTTTTTTCTCGCTGCAGTATTTTTTTAATTCACTGACTGCATCTGTTTTTTTCCGGATATTTGTAGCACTTGAGACTCGAAATATGATTATTTAATGAAATTTTCGTCATAATGTAGCACCATTTGATAACACAAAATTCTGGATAAATTATTAAACTTCCACACCAGAAATATAAAAAAATATAATCACGTAACGCATAATAAATTACATAAACCTCAAGTAGGAGTGAAAATTGATAATTAAATTCTGCAAGGTGCACTGTAATTGGATTCATGTGTTAAATTCCAGTAAAATGTTATAATAATTGAATCATGCAAGTCCTAAATATCAGCACTGATTTTCGCTAAGTTGAAAGATATTTTTACTTGTGTAAATAAAATAAAATATTATTTAAATAAATAATGAAGGGATATTCACAGTAAATTTTCGAACTTACAGATGAAATCTTTTCTGTACGATACCTCTTCAGTCGACATTGAAAAGAAGTCTAGAGTGAATTCAAGAGGAAGAAGTGGAAGTTGAGTTAGAGAGTCAATTCGAGAGTAGTATGTCGATCGTACATTTTCAATGTGTAAAATGTACAGCTACAGGTTGTGCTGCTTATACACGCTCGAGGTAGGTTGAAGAAAGAAAGTTGAGGGTGGAAGCAAGTAAGGATTTATAGTGGTCGGGCCCACAGGCGAAGTAGTATAAGGAAGGATTGATACACGACGGGGGTTGCCACCTCAATGCTTCGAGCTTTTCGAAGAGGATATATAACATAGAGGTGTAGAATGTGCTCGGTTCGTGGCTGCCGCATGGATGATTTTATTTTTTAACTTGGGCGCGCATCATTGCTATACTACTAAAACCTGTTGATTCTGTCGTCCCTAACAAAAATATACATCTGACTTCAAATCATTTTTTCACTTGATCAAATAGTCATGGTTTCTCTTTTATTCACTTGTACTTGATTTTTACTTTTTTTTTATTTGAGGGAAAATTGGATTTTGGGGGACGTAAAAATTTAAAATGATGGAGAGAAGACTATTTTAAGCAATGATTGACGGTAGAAGAAGTGGAATTATTTATCAATAAATAAAATATTTGTTTTTTATGATGATTTAACATTTTAGGATAATCTAAAGTTTAACACTTAAGTAATTTTAGGGATTAACGTTAAAATACTGTTGAGCAAACTATTTTTATGAATTTATTTAGAAGAGTAAAATTATATATGATAATAAATAAATGGAAGTATTGTAGATTTTATCATGACTGTTGATTGAGCACGTAGCAGTTGTTACACTGTCCACAAAATTACTCAATAAAATTTATACTTTTTCCAATCATTTAATCTTAATTATGCAGTTTACGATCAAAAAAATAAATTACTAAATCCCATTTATCAGTATTTATCTTACTAAATATTTAGCACTAATTAAAATTGCCATGAATTGAAGTTCAATTTATCCAAGTCTGAAGTAAATTGATTTTTATTGCTTTCCATTCCAACATATTTAATGTCAATTTCAATTCAAAACTTTCCAATATTCATCATTAATTCTTTCATATGTATTTCAATTAACTATTGATCCATCATAAAGGCTAGATAAAGAATAAAAAGCTTCCTAAATTATTATTGTTTTCCACCAGAAACTTTGTAGACTTTCATTTACCCCAGTTTCTTTTATAGAAAAGTGATGCAATCAATCTCTTCTATGGTTGCTTTATAATTATGAGAATATAAAGGGTTGAAGAACTTTAGACCAACTGGAGATTATAGACAGGAGATAGATCAAAAACGAGCTAAATCTCTGCTTAGCAATTACTGGTTAATTTTAAAGACTTTTCTCTCACATCCTCAACAACTATGTCTAGACAGCTTTTCTTGTATAGTCTGAAACTGTTATTGTTTTTCCAACTTACTTAGCTTTCAATCTAGGCTTTTATTCCAATTCAACAAAATTATTGATTTATTGATAACAAAGAGTCGGTTGAACCATTCATAATATTGATGTAAAATTTTCAGTTATTAATTAAAAATTGATGATTAAATTTGTTCAAAAATTTGAAATATTCTTTGTAAACACAAATTCTCTGTCACAAATATTTAATCAATCTTTTTTTTTAGAAATATTAAAATTAGGTTAAATCAATATAGTTAATAAACTATATTTTGATTGGAGTTTATACTACTGTGAAACCTGCATCAGCAATGCTTGCACCATTTCTATAGGTATATTTAGCTCTCACTTGCTCGTACAGCTCTAAAAGCACCCGCTATATTCGCTAATAGGGGGCCCGCAGGTTGCAATTAATTATAATTGCGGCGTTGAACTGGAATTGTTCACGAATGCTGGCCGCATAGTCCTCTCGCATACAGTTCTGTTCAGTTCAGTGCTTTCAACACCCAGATTGTTCACCTCAGAAGCAGGAAATAATGTCGGCCGGTTAAAAGAGTCTTTATGTAATGAAAAAACAATAAAGTACATGTATTTTTATCGATCGAGTTTTTTTTTACAAATAAACAAATTTACCTTGGTTATTGTTTCACACAAAGTAATTAATATTCTCTGCTGCTTCTCTATTAATAATTTAATTACTTTTTTCTACTTTTCTTTTTTTCAAATGTAACGTCACAATGTTGGTGTGAGGGTTGAACATGTGTGATATGAAAGGAGAAATTTGTGAATAAATGATCAAAGAATGAATGAAAACAATTATAAGCCGTAGTAGAAAGTAGGATCATACTTGGTCCAACAGTGGATCCAGG